GAGAGAGGGAGAGAGAGGGGCGAGTTGGGGAAGAAAAGATGAAACTGCCGACGGGGGGAAGGGGAGGGGCGCGGGGTCTCGGGCGAAATAACTGCCCGGACCCTACCACCAAGGGTATTGGCGGTAGAGTTAGACAGGCTACCGCCAGGTGCCCTGGCGGTAGGGTGCGACGTAGGAGGACGGCGGGCGTCTCCGCATGCTGACATGGATTACTACCCTACCGCCAGCCTCCCTGGCGGTAGACTGTCTAACCCTACCGCCAGGGTCCCTGGCGGTAAGAAAAAGGGTCAAATCCCGATTTTTTTTCCAACCGAGGTCAGATCACGAATTTATATCGCAAAAGGGTCAAAACACGAAATTTTGCCTTAGTGCGTTGGAGTTTATTCAGTGGAACTTTCATGTGCAGTACTCCCTTTGTAAGGAAATATTTTTTTATGGGAAAGTTTACTTTATTATTAATCAAAGGATAGATACATCGTTTGCCAATTGATTTACAATGAAATCAGGCAGGGCGTCAATCCAACGAGATGGATTATGAGCACGTCCCATCTAGCCAGCTCATGAGCTACATAGTTGGACTCTCTAATAAAGTGCTCAATAGTAAACCTTCCGAAATCTTTGAGATAACTACGACATTCATCAAACACCGGCGCTGCCACCATAGAATAGCCTCCAGATATTATCCCATCGTACCACCACATTATGGCATCCCGTCTCTCTTGCTTGCTTTAGTCCTTCAAGCAAAGTTGCCGCTTCTGTTGTACAAATATTAGCTACATGTTCTAATCGCGTTGTGGACGCGGACATGAAAGATCGATAGATAACCGCACCACATGACCCTGCATAATCACCTTTTGTGAACGAGGCATCGACATTTAGGACTGCCTGACCTGCTAAGTATGCCAGACATCTATTCATCTTGGGTGTGGTTTTTTGTGTGCTCCGCGGACATAGTTGAGTGCTAGGGCTACCACCGCCGGAGCCGTTCGTTCCGGAGACAAAATCTCTTCCCCTCGCACAAACTGTCTTCGTTGCCACCATAGAAACCAGCAGACTGTGGTTATTAGCTCTGGTAGCTCAAGCACTCCAGAATATTGTTTCCGGTATGATTTATCACAGAGAATGAACTCTAGAACTGTTGAGCCTGCTCGATCCATCAGAGAAGCAAAGTTGATATCAACCGCAATTCCCAGAGCTTCCCTCTGTAAAGAAATATAAGAGTGTTTAGATTCGAAAAAGCTCCTTCGCGATCGCTCGTTGGAGCGATCGAATCAATCCAAACGGAGCGTCCTTCGACAACTTCCTCGTATCGCGCTTGGGCTCACCACATGATCGCTAGGACGTGCCAAGACGTGCAAAGACTACCCATTAATCTCCATATAATCTGCTCCCTGGTTTTATGGGGGCTGGGGGCACACTAATTACCATAATCCTTCCCCTGGCCACACCTTCCAAATCGGGAGATCCTGGTCTGTCGGAAAGCGAGCGTTGGCACGCCAATAGCAACGCAACATTCTTATATTTTTTTACGAAGGGAGTAATTTATATGCCTTGTGTTTACCTGATGCACAAATTATTATTGCACCAACATGAAAATAAGTTTACCGAGTGTGCGTAGCTATGGTTATAAAGCTATTTAATTGTGCTTCTAAAAAAGTTGTTTAATTTTGCCACCGGTATCATACCTTGTGTGATAAACAAACTTGACGGGGTCACTTGTATCTGGAAAACACAAAGGCAAAACTATTAAACCTAAAAAAGTGTGCCATGGGCATTTTTATATGTTGTTGTGCTATCAGTATTATGTAAATCAGATTGGCAAAGTTTACGAAAGATATAAGCATATTTTGATTACTGGAAAAAGGGTCATTTTATGATTTCAGGATAATATTGAGGCTTCCTTACTAAAGCTAGACTCCTTTTACACGAGTCATACAATCCTTTATTTGGTTCTTTGATAGAACCAGATATAAAAAAAACAGTGTGGTGCCAATTCCAAATCCCCATTGTTTTTCCAAGGCAAGAGAGATGAGTAAGAAAGACCCCTAACATAACTACTGTAATTGGCTATTCAAACAATATAAAATACCAAATAATACATTGTTAATGCATTCACGCTCGCTTTTAAAATGAAAAAAATACCAGTTTTTTTTTTCATGTGCCATCTCTTTGTAAACTTCTTTGCACAGGTGACATTTAACTTTAACGACCGTGTCCAATTATGAATGGCACAAAGTTAGAGAAAACAACACTCTACATGATTGTCAAGATGCAAGAGTGGAGTGTGACTCTTTCTAAACTTCTCTGCACGAGTGACGTTTATCTTTAACGACCGCGTCCAATTATGAATGGCACAAAGTTAGAGAAAACAACACTCTACATGATTGTCAAGAAGCAAGAGTGGAGTGTGAGTTGTAGCCTTGTAGGTTGTGTTCGTTGCTATTCCGCTTGTGCAGTGGTGCAAACCTACCCGAGCTCTTCTTCTAAACTAGTTTTACTGATATTTTGTGTACCGCATGTATTATACTGACTTTATAGTTGCGTGGTAATGACATTTCTACGCACCAAGTAATAATATAAACGCCTTTCCTCTAGGAGAAATGTTTTTTTCAACACAGTACAATCGAAGCCGCTCACATATACAAGTATAAACTCACTCCTATGAATGCACACACGCACATTCTACCTTATGAGCACCTCCGGGAGACTGAGCCGACATAGCATTTTGAGATTTTACCAAGTCACCACAGAGGCCTCGCAGTCGACGGGAAGGTCTCTTCCCGCTGAACAAACATCACCGTAAGCCTGAAATAAATTCAGGATTGGTTCACTCTAGGAGAAATGTCTTGTGTGCGATTTTGAGAGGGTTTGAAAGAATATTCCGTGTGGCGAGAGGGGTTTAGAGAATCCTGAGCTAGGTCGGGGCAGACAAGAGAAGCGACGGGGTACCTGCTCCTCCAACGGTACACCAGCGCATTATATACCTCCCATTAATCCCGGAAATCCCCTCCCCACCGTCCGATCCACATCGAACGGCCACGAAAATCCCCCATTACAATTCCGTAGCCCATCCAATCCCAGATATTCGTCACCCTCAGCCCGCTGCAACCGGGCCCCACGCGACGCCGGCGCTCACCTGTCAGTGACCCCACCCGCACCAACCCTATGTGAACGCCGCGACGGACGCGCCCACCACCCATCACGTGCCCGGCGCGCGCAAGAGAGAGAGGAGAGGTGAGGAAAGGAAGGAAACCCTCGCGTCGTCCCCTCCGCTCCGAAACCCCCGACGCCAAGGAAACCCTCGCGAGCCCACAGCCGCCTCCGCCTCCGCCCGCGCCGCCGCCCCGAATCCGGCCGGTGCCCGCGGCCCCGGGCCCCCGCCGCCCCAGTCCCCGAGGTCAGCTCCCGGCGCCGCGCGCCCCCGGTGTTTTCCTTTTTCTCTGCGCGTCCTGGCGGCTCATTTTGGGGGGTTTAGCTTGGGTTTCTGCCGCGGGCCGCCGCGTCGCTCGCCGCGCGCGGGTTCGGCGGAGGCGTGGTCGCCCGATCGGTGCTCGGCGGGGTGGATTCGGGGGCGGTTTTTCTCGTCGTGGTTTGAATTTGCGATGTGTATTTTGGGGGATTCGTGGTTCGGCGGGGTACGCAGCGGGTTCCATTTCGTAATGCACGAGTAGTGAATTGCTATTGCCTGGCATGTCACATGCATGCGCGTCAGGTTGGTGGATTTGGGGCTAGGGTTTGGGGGATGGCTGGAACTGACAGAGTGCTTGGCCTGATTCAGGGAGCAATGGGCAGCAGCAGCAGCAGCAGTGCCTGAGGAGGAGGGAGTTATGGCGGGAATGGCCGGGAAGGGGGACGAGTCGGTTGCACCGGTGAGGTCCAGTGACCGGCTGCGGCAGCGGCCCAAGTACTACGGGCGGGGATACCTGTATTACTCACCCAACATGCGCAACAAGATGGAACTCCAACAAGAAGCGGACGGCTGCATCGCAGATTGCGAAGAAGCTTCTTCGCAAGCCAGCCGCACGGGAACCTCCTGCCGATGTAAGCAACTTTGTATGCTAGTTGTTTGAGATTTGCTTGTTTTTATCATTGAAAAACGTTCTTACCTGATATGCTGAAGATGTCATCTGGTGTACCGTGTCTTATGATACATTATTTTGACCAGCTGTTATTTGCATGTTAATGATTGGAGTTATTATCCATCCATCTGTTAATTTTAGCCGCAAGGAATGTCTTGGTTTCTATGGAGGCTTTGTTAGCATTATATCCCTGATTCTGCATTTTTACTGGATTTTTACACTTCCCAGAATAAAATATGTCCATCAGTTAAATAGGAAACATAGACACTTTTCAAGCTATTATTAGTATAGGGACGCCTGGTTCATGTAACTTCATTGTATGAAACATGAGCGATTGACCACTTCCTGAAAGCTATCTCCTGAACATTGTACCTGGAATGCCTTTATTTCTGTGTGGGGTTGCTACATTATGCTCAGTACCTTGATTATAATAGCCCTCTTTATAGTCTATTGCAGCAAATTTGCGCCGTTCAACGCGGAAGCGAAGAATGTCTGTAACTCTGGAGGACTACGGCACAGATAGTTCCAGTATGGAAGATGATGACCTTATGGTGAGTTTCTAGAGTCTCAGTAATGACTGTAATTTTGGAAGCCACACTGTTACCCAATTGGCATCTCAGTTTGCTGATTATTATTTGAACCAGCTCATATTTTCCCTTTTATTTTTTCAGAGACCCAGATATCGGTCTTCTTCAAAGAGTAAAGGGGATGATCAAGTGTCGGCACGGCCGAAGCGCAATAAAATGTCTAACTCGAACTCCATTCCCCGCCGTGAAGGTTTAAGGCCTAGAAGATCTCTGCGGGGACAAAGGCATCTTCCATACCAAGTTTCTGATGATGATCAGGAAAGTTCTGAAGAAGAACATGAACAAGATCAGAGAGAAAATGGCAATGAAGTCGAAGAGGACGGTGCCAATGAAGAGGAGATTGATGGAGGTGATGAAGCTGAAGAAGATGGAGATGATGAAGACGGCGAGGAAGAGCAAGAAGTTAGGAGGAGATATGATCTAAGGGATCGTGCAGAAGTTCGTAGACCCTCCCCACAGAAGGAAGGGAAGCACAGACCACAATCTCCCCGCAGAGTACTTGTACAAGGAATTGGTCCAAAGAACAGCAAGTATTTAAAGAAAGGTGGGTCACGCATGCATAAGCGCCCTCGTTTCTCAATGCCAGATGATTCAGATGATTCTCTTCTCGTGGATGAGCCGGATGAAGGTCCATCCATGCCATGGATGCGTAGTGGGAGAGGTGGTATGCCACCATGGCTTATGGGTGGATTGGACATGCATAATTCAGCAGCATGGGGTCTCAATGCTGGAGCATCTGGATGGGGTCATCAGGGTGATACTGGAGTCAGTACTTCATCACTGATGCCAGGGGCACAAACTGCTGGCCCAAGTTCCAAGGGAGGAGCTGATATTCAGCCTCTGCAGATTGATGAGAGTGTAAGTTTTAATGATATTGGAGGTTTGTCTGAGTACATTGATGCTTTAAAGGAAATGGTGTTCTTCCCTTTGTTGTATCCAGATTTTTTTGCAAATTATCACATAACTCCTCCTAGGGGAGTTCTTCTCTGTGGACCTCCTGGTACAGGGAAGACATTGATTGCCCGTGCATTAGCTTGTGCTGCCTCTAAAGCTGGCCAGAAGGTCAGCTTTTATATGCGAAAAGGAGCTGATGTTCTTAGTAAATGGGTTGGAGAGGCTGAAAGGCAGCTCAAGTTGCTTTTTGAGGAAGCTCAAAAGAATCAGCCTGCAATCATATTTTTTGATGAAATAGATGGCCTTGCCCCTGTGAGATCTAGCAAGCAAGAGCAGATTCACAATTCAATAGTGTCAACATTGCTTGCTTTGATGGACGGTCTTGATTCACGTGGACAAGTTGTTTTGATTGGAGCAACCAATCGGATTGATGCCATTGATGGGGCATTGCGTAGACCTGGCCGTTTTGATCGCGAGTTCTATTTTCCTTTACCTGGCTATGAGGCACGAGCTGAAATTCTGGACATTCATACACGGAAATGGAAGGAACCCCCGCCAAAGGAGCTAAAGATGGAGCTTGCTGCGAGCTGTGTTGGGTATTGTGGTGCTGATTTGAAAGCATTATGTACTGAAGCTGCTATTCGAGCATTTAGGGAGAAATATCCTCAGGTTTACACAAGTGATGACAAGTTTGTCATTGATGTAGACTCGGTCAGGGTCGAGAGGAACCACTTCTTGGAAGCTATGTCTACAATAACTCCAGCTGCACATAGGGGATCAATTGTGCATTCAAGACCACTGTCACCGGTTATTGCTCCATGTTTGAAGAGACATCTTGAGAAGGTAATGGAAAGGATTTCTGATATTTTTCCTTACCTTTCAGCATTGGATCTTAGCAAATACTCTACCCTTTCATATGGATCTTCCATCCCTCTTGTTTATAGGCCTCGCCTTTTGATGTGTGGCGTTGAGGGTGTTGGACTGGTAGGGTTTCTCTTTTATTTGGATATATTGTAAGTATGTTGTGCCTTTTTTCTTACTAACGTGGTTTAGCTTAGCAGGATCATGTTGGGCCAGCTGTTTTGCATGAGCTTGAGAAATTTCCTGTGCACTCCTTGGGGCTGCCATCTCTTCTCTCTGATCCAAGTGCAAAGACACCTGAAGAAGCTCTCGTGCATATTTTTGGGGAAGCAAGGAGAACAACACCGTCCATACTATACTTGCCACAGTTCCATCTTTGGTGGGATACGGTTAGTACATGAAGTCCTAGCCATAACCTTTGGTACCATGAAATGATTCTTGAGTAAATACTGGCTTAGTTATGCAGCTAATTACTTGATTTTTAACGTTACAGGCACATGAACAGCTTAGGGCAGTGTTATTGACTCTTCTGAATGAATTGGCATCCAACCTTCCAGTATTGTTGCTAGGAACATCATCAGTGGCCTTTGATGACCTCGAAGAAGAGTGTGCTTCCATATTTTCTTCTCGTAATGTGTATGTTCCTGGAGGAATGTTAATTCTGTTTTGCCTGGTTGTTTTGACTTAGTTCTTGTCTTAGATGCATACCATGTTGAACTTTGTTTTCATTGGTTTAGGAAACATATTACTGCTTGATTGTTCAGTTTTTTTTAACTCTTTCGAGCTCTGTAAATGCTTGAATGATGTCCTTAGTATCACATTGTTATCCATTCAAAAAGCATGGAACAGTATCCTTTGCGTGGGCAAGGGGGTATGTTTACTAATAGGTCATTGACTGGAACAAGTTCTTTTCCTTTTTTTGGCTGTATAGTGTTGGCTGCTTCACGTACCCTTCGCATGGGCAAGGGGTGTGTTTACTAATAGGCCCATTGACAGGAACAGGATTTGTTCTTTTTTGTTTGTTTGTTGACATGCTTGCTAATTTCAGTTCACTGTATATCACTTTATTGCTGGATCAGTGTTGCATGCTTCACATCAGGTTCAGTGCATTTTCTCTTACTTGTCTTATTTTTCATCAACAAAATCTTCTGTTTGATAGATATCAAGTGGATCGACCAAGTGATGATGATAGATCAAGATACTTTAGTATACTGTTTGAGTCACTGCTCTCACTTCAAATGGAAGATTCAAGAAGCAAGTCGAAAGAGAAAAAGTCTATCGATCTTCCAAAAGCACCAAAGAAAGTAGATGGGCCTAAGGTTTCTGAGCTGAAAGCTAAGGCAGAAGCTGAGCAACACGCTGTTCGTCGAATGAGAATGTGTCTACGAGATATTTGTAACCGGTCTGCAATTTACTCCTTTACATTGTTGCATATATTTCTCTGTTTTGTTCGTTTTTTCTCAGTTCTCAGCAATTAACTATTGTAGGCAACATTAATACTTTAATACGTCTAACACTTCTGTTAGACAACATTGAAAAATTGCCTGACCATTCTTTAGCCAATCCCCAATTCATGCTTATTCTTAATCTTGGGATCCATATTGAGTTGATTGAAAGAGTGCTAGCTAGCATGACCTTTGCTTAGCAGTTTTGTTCGAGATGAATACTCAGTTCAGGTCATATGGTGACACAAGATATTTCAAAATAAAAAGTTTGTGTGGTTCAGTAATGCTCCTGGTTCTAACATCATCTCCAGTAAAAAATAACCGGTTGATTGTAACTAAAAAATTAAGCTAATATATGATATATATAATCTCCCTTCTATGCTGCCGACGAGCTGAACATTGTGTTACATTTGGAAGGTACTCCCTCTGTCCCAGAATATAAGAACGTCTTTGACACTATGTTAAGTGTCAAAATCGTTCTTATATTTTGGGACGGAGGGAGTAACTGCAAAGTGAGCTAAGTTAGTGTTAGGCTGTCAGCTGTCATGTTATATACTTATATTTTGAACTTAGTTGTAGTAAGATGTGTAAATGCATTTGATGTGTATTTTGAACTTTAGATAGCTGAATACTCGCCCTTTTGAGGTAATTTCTCAAGCTTGAGTTTTTTCAGTATATAAATTCTGAGACTTTATCTTCTGTTGCATATGCAAAAGGTCTCTAGTATCTTAGACAGTATTTGTTCACTTGATATTCAAACCAGATGGAAATAATCACACTTCATCTTTTCAGCATTCTATACAACAAAAGGTTCACTGCATTTCACTTCCCAGTATCAGAAGAGGAAGTACCTGACTATCGAACAATAGTTCACAACCCCATGGATATGGCTGCTGTCTTGCAGCGGGTGGACTCTGGACAGTACTTCTCTCAGGCAGCATTTTTGAAGGATATTAATCTTATAGTCACTAATGCAAAGGTTTGAGTTTTTCTTTTGGGTCATTTAGTTTTCCACTCATGTTACATATGTTCTGATCATACATCCATAGCAAGTACTCCCTCCGTCTTAAAATTCTTGTCTTAGATTTATCTACATACGGATGTATCTAGTCACGTTTTAGTGTTAGATACATCTGTATCTAGACAAATTTAAGACAAGAATTTTGAGACGGAGGGAGTACCATGGAATTTGATAATATTTTTTATGATGATGGCAACTGATTTTTTTCCACTCAAGTTACACGTGTTTTGGTCATATACTTTCATGGCAAGTACGTTACAGTTCAATACTGATCTTTCTGATTATGGTAACTGAAAAAATGACCTAACCTTTGTAACAACTGTAGCAATAGTTTGTTGTGATATTTCTGAAGATGCCAACTAACACAATGACTGAAGTTTTTGGGACTACTGTATCTGCAAGTTTGATGCTAACTATTTTACTAATTTTGCAGACTTATAATGGCGACGATTACAATGGATCTAGGATCGTGAGCAGAGCATGTGAACTCCGAGATGTGGTATATTGTTTGTTCAATAGTTGTTGCTGTATTTGATTGTTGACTAGACCTCTGTGTTTGTTTGTGTGACTAATGCTTATCTTTGGTCAGGTGAAAGGTATGTTGTCACAGATGGACCCATCATTGGTATCCTTTTGTGATAAAATTGCTGCACAAGGGGGACCACTGCAGGCTATGGATGATGAGGATAGCTCCATTCTCCAAGCGCCGCCTGTTGTTCAGTTAGTTTCTGTTACTAGAACAAGTGCAAGGCTTCGTAATGTACAACCAGAAGTTGATCTGTCAAGAAGTTATGAGGTGCTAAAGCGGCACAAGAAAAGCACCAAAAACGAACATGGTAATCTTCTATTCTTGACCGACTGTTGGGTTTGCAATCTTGCATATCAAGTGTGGTACAAAATAAATATATTGCACTGACCTTTGTTTCAGGCACTGCTGCCAAAGAATCGACGGCAAGAGATGGAAAGTCTCCTGGTGATGTAGATCTGTCAAAGCCAACTTCCCCAGAGGAAGCTCCAAAAGGACCACATTCAAATGGCCCTTTGAAAGAAGCTGACAAAGCACCAGATGAAGCACCTCCAACACTACCTGGTTCTCCTCCCGACCCAATGGAGACTGACAACGGCGAAGATTCTGCCATGCCTACCAGCGATGACATGCTTGAACAACTGGAAGGTGTGAAACAGCGCTTCATGGAGCTCACCGTGGGCTACGGGGTGCCGCAGCTCGAGAGGCTCTACTCGCGGATAATGAAAGGCGCGATAGAGTTGACAGGTAAAGAAACCAACAAGGATCATAGACGGTTAGTTGTTAGGCATTTGTTGGCATTTGTTGAGAACAGCGACAATTTTTAACTCTAGCAGGAATAAGAGGTTTTACTGGTTTTCCCTGTGTACATTCTGTTGTCTGTTGGAGCAACAACCCTGAGGAGCTGTCCATGCCTCCTGATGTAGTGATGTAACAACATTTTCTGAAATGCTCAGTGGCATTACAACAGTTTTGTGTAGCAAGTTCTGTTGCGGTCTTTGAGGATTTGAATTCTCAGTGCCGCCTTTCTTTGATCTATACCAGTCATTTATTTCTCTACATTTTTTTTATTATTCTGGTTTGCAGTCTCAACTTTGACTTCATCAAGGATGATCCATGCCCACGTTTACCTCTTGTTCCAAATTTTATATGCCTGTGTTTCGGTGTATTACTTCACCAAGGGAGGCGCTGATTATGCCTAGTAATCTAGTACTTTGAAGAAAGAAAAAACAGGTTGATATGGGGGCAGTTATAACATGTGAAATGGTCATAAATTGGGAACATGCACCTTTTGCCAGCAGAACCCTAGATTGATGCAAAGCAGCAGGCACACGACCATACAATATCCACAATTAATGCTCACAAGATTTGAAATGAAACTGCGAAAAGTCCATTCTGCACCCGAACTCATATGCACCCGCATGAACAGTAAAATCGAAAAAAATTCAAAAAATTCCAAAATTTTTTGAGAGAAACATTGACAAAAGTTCTAAGTGCCTGCAAAAATTCATCATGAAATCACATTCCTGTAAGGCGTGGCAAAAAAAAAACAAATTCAGTGCTTCAAAATGCGTTTGAAAGTAGCTTTTTCAAAGTACTATTTTTGTTTTTTTTGCCACGCCTTCTAGGAATGTGATTTCATAATTTTTACAGGCACTTAGAACTTTTGTCAATGTTTCTCTCAAAAAAAGTTTGGAATTTTTTTCGATTTTTTTTCGATTTTACTATTCATGCGGGAGCATATGAGCTCGGGTGCAAATTAGCCGCGTCCAATGAAACTGTAACTCTCTCCATCCAAATATATAGGACCTAATATAGGAGAGGGGTGTTTTGGTGCCCGTGCTCACCTGCACCTGATATCCTAGGCGTACAATGCTGTATGGGAATTCGAGAATATGCCGGTGACAAGACAGGGTTCATGCAGTGGAAAAGCGAATACGGGGAGTATACAATAGGGAACAGTGGCGCGGTGGGGGCCTTTCCCGTAGTGCGGTAGCACTTTGCGAACGATGGGTGAATGGTATGACTCTGAGCCACCATGGCCCAGGAACGTTTGTTCCAATCTGAGCGTACGTCAGGTAACGGCGCAACAAAAAAATGCAAGTATTTGTGCTCTATGAGGGATGGCATAAATGGTTGTAGCCTCCGCGCGTGCAGCTTGTCCACCTGATTAACTGGAGATGCTTGGACCGGCGGCTGATAGGCATTAGGCACTGGCAGAGGAGCCTGCTAAGCAAGTTGGCCAGGTGCTGCTGCATACACATCTTGAGACTTGAAACTCCAAGAAAGGACACTCCTAGGACTAGGAGACCGAGACAAAGCCATGCACGAAGAACAGATAAGAACTGACCGGGGTAAGATAAAACGTGCTACTAGAAAGATTAGAGACATAGTTGATGCACATGTATAATCTGTAACCGGGCTTCTGTCCATTGCAGGCAATGGAGATCACCGGATTATGGCTGCAGAATGGCCTTCGGATTAGGGGAAGAAGCTCCTGATTCCGGGCAGTGGGGGAAGAGACCTAGAAGCCGACATGGTCGGGGGTCGAAGCTGGCGGCGCAAAGGGGAGAAGAAAGGGATCGGTAAATGGCCTTGAGCGGTTTGTGTTTTTCTCTTTTAGATTTTTTTTTGAGACAACTCTTTTAGATAATTGAGCGGTTTGTGTGGATATGGACGAGGTGCTGGCTGGCCGTTAGGGCCTTCGTTGGACTTTGCCGGCTCGGTTTGGACCAGGATATTGAACGGGCCATCAGTAATTGGCCTGAGCCGTCACGAAAGAAACGGCACCTACCCGTCATAAACGCATGCATTAATTCCTATTACATCTCGCATACGATGGAGATACAGCGAGATATACACGAGAGGTCACCAATCCCAAGATGTGCGGACGTTGGAGATATCGACAGCATCTGAGACCAATATTTTAAATAGCGCGCTACAAAATATAGCGAGGCCCTTCTCTAAATGCTACACAAGTTATAGCGCGCTAATAGTGTGCTATATTTCAAAATAGCGTTTGCAAAAAAAATCAAAGTATCTAGAAATAAAGTATTTAAGCAACTAAATTTTTCATAGGAGCAAGCAATATATGCATCTGATAAAAGGAGTGAGAAAGCTAGTGGGAGAATCTGATAAAAGGAGTGAGAAAGCTAGTGGTCGTGGGTTGGTTTTGGCCTGCTGGGTCTGTTGGGCTGTGCTTATTTCAGTTTTGCATGGTCTGCATGTTATAACGTTATAACGTTACAACGTTATAGCGTGTGTAGCGCGCTAATTACGCGATTAGCGTCGTAGCGTCTGATTTTACCAAAATGTAACGTCTCCCTTCCAAATATGCTATAACCGCGTTATAACGGCGAAATAGCGTGCTATTTAAAATATTGTCTGAGACTGGGCTCAGAAACACATTTTCGCTAATATAGGTTTTTTGATGTTGTCTTTGACCATTGATAAGATTATAATAATATAAAAGATATGCGCACTTTGTAGAACCCAAGAAAATGGGGGCCTGGTGCGAAAAGAAAAATTAGGCCCTCGGTATAGGCATAGTCATCGGCAATTAGGAAAACAAAATTTTATTATATATATTGTTTGAACTTTGAAGAACCAAATCTTAATCTTGTAAATATACACGTACCTTGCCATTGGCTACTGCCCAGTCCTCGTGACACGCTTGAAATAGTTCAAAGACCTAAAGTGCACTTCACTCTTTGAAGAACTACATCTTACCAAAAAGTAATTCTTAAAACCCAGAAGCACTACATTATTTAGCGGAAATATGCCATCCTTCTAGCATTCCTTTTGTTTTTTCTGTGATGGCCTTCTAGCATTCCTTGATACAAACTCTTCAATAAATTCTTCAGAAGCAACCTTTTTCAAAATGTCACTTCATGCTTTCACTAGAAACTTATTTAGGAGCTCCTTTTCGAGGTCAAGTGATTCTTTAGCCAAAAGCTTATCATGTAAGGATGAAACAACCTTTGATTTCTTTGGAAGAAGATCATGGGGCGGCTAGCAGCGACCCGTGTCGGTGTGGTAGTCTGGTTGATGAATGGACGACCAAGCGGTCTGGGCCTGGCCTCCAACTTCAATCGATCTACCTCGCGTGCTTGGCCTGAGAAATAAAACATCGTCCCAAGCAGTTGTAAGCTGCCCATGGTCAGTAGCAAAATTAGTGGAACGTTTAGGTTTAAAAAGACAACTAATTGACAACATAATAACTTGGGCGTTTGGTCTAGTGGTATGATTCTCGCTTTGGGTGCGAGAGGTCGCGAGTTCGATTCTCGCAACGCCCCTTTTTGTTATTATTTCTTTGTTTCGGTCATCGGTCAGTTTTTTTAAAGGGGAGGTCATCAATCAGATATACAAATCGAATGTATACAGTGCGTTCGCGAGCAAATCAACTGAGGCCTTCTCTCTCTCTCAAAAAATAAAAATAATAAATCAACTGAGGCCTGCAGTTGGACGACTATGTCCTGAACTCCTGATGCAATTTCTTCCCAGGGAGGAGGCAGCTTCTCCCGCCCCTGTCCTGCCTGTGGTTATGCTCATTCAGTTCTGAAACTTATGTCCCTACTAATTACGTGTAGCCTGAGTTTCACTCCTAGATTATTGTTAGGGACTGGCTAGGTGCCAGTCGTCTGAAATTCAAATTCGGGTCAGTCGAATCATTCTCTGCCCTTGATCTCTGATCTAACGGCCGCCAACCATCTTCTTCCTCCAACAGTTTTTCTGAAAAAATATATCACACAACCGCTTATCTTGTTCTTCCTCCCGACGCCTTCTTCCCCATTGCCCCCACAGACCACCGGCCGGACCGCCAGCCACCACTGCTCGCGGCCGGCGGCGCTCCCGTGTCAGCCTTACTGCCCTTCCCTCCCCTCAATCGCCACCCACCGCCCCCGACCGTCCCTCTAGCCCCGACTATGGCCGGTTTTTTTCCGACAAACCTGCACCACCCCCACGCCCCAAATAAGATAGATAATGGGGGTCACCTGTCTCCCTAAGATAGACCTAGAGGGCTTCTCCGACGAGCTCCTTCCTTTCGAAAATCGACTGATCCAAATTCTAAATTCAGGCGACTTACATATATGTATTGTGTTACTGTTAAGCACTCGAATTACAGAATCTATATACTGATCTTGATCAGTGCTCACCCGCAAAAAAAGAAGAGAAAGATCTTGATCAATGCTGCATGTCACTACATGCTAATGGCCAAGAATCTTTTCCTTACTGGCGGCGATCAAATTTTTGTTTCATAGTATGTGTTTCGATTGTTGTGTTTCCCTTTCTCACTTCCTATTTCTCGAACTGGTGTTGTATTTTCGTTATGCTTGGTAATGAAAAGAGGGGTAGCTCGGATTAGAAGTTCTGTTATATTTGAAAGAAAGAAAATTCACTTTCTCCATCCCATATTAGTGACGCTTAAACGGTTGAGTGTCGGAGTATCATCCAAGTATAGGAAGTACTAATAAAGAGTAGCTAACACGACCTAAAAGGTAAACAAAACTGCTCCACACACAATACTTGTGCCTGATCTTTGCTCGACGTGTAAACCCAACGGCCGGTGCCCTTTTCAATCATACGCATGTTTGTCTGGATTTAATAATCATATGTGAATCGAGTGAATTTTGTCGTGCACATATAGCATGACCAAATGTAAAAGGATTATACGACACCATCACGCATTACTAATCCTATTATTGGACCCCCATCCATATCGCCTGAAGATAGCGTGAGCTACCCTCACTTATAGACTTTGAAGTTTGCTTTCCTATGTGAAATATTAAGGCTATTATAGACAACGTGAAAAATCTGTTCAATTCAT